GGGGACCCACCACTTGTGGACAGGTGGGGTCATCCCCAGGAGGTCAGAACCCTGTTGTACAGCAGATGGAAGATGAGACACTGTGTCCCCTCGAATCTCCCCCTTATCCTCATGATCTGTTTTGTCAAATGGTAGTACATCAGCTGTTCCAATTATTCCATCTTTTTCCACAGTTTTCCTTAGGATTAAGAAAAACACCAAAGCCGAGTACAAGAAAGGCTTTTATACTGTGATAGAGCCAGATGTAGGCAGATGTAGTTCCTATCTCTGAGGAAGATCTGGATTAGATTAGAATTTACAGTTTTCCATTTGCATAGTTCTGATGCCCATAGAGTTGGGTGCCCCTACAGCCCTCTTGGTTGTTTGCCCCCTATTTAGATGTAGATGTGCATTGTGTTTAGGTGCAACTTCTCAGGCATGTGATTTTACCCTTGGTGAAGGGTTGAGGTAAGACGAGCACACGTGGTAACACTCACATGCACATTTCCAGTTCAAATCAGGGTCCCCACTTACTTCAGATGCAGGTCTGCAATAGGGCATGGAGATGCTGGCAGCCCCTCGCCCAGAGAAGAGCTCTGACTGAAAGCACACAGAAAATAGATCTCAGTTACATCATGATTGTTTCATAAATCAACCTTAGTTACCAGTTTCTCTGGGAGTTTTGCTTTCCATTTTGTAGCTGTACGTGGCTCATGGCTTGCGCGTGTACCTTTGATATCCCAGTAACAGCTTTAGATCTTACTGTAAAATTTATGAAAGTAAATTTCATGCTTATCCCATGGAATGAGAGGTAAGGCTAAAGCATCTTTAACATTCCTCTGGCAGAGCACCTACACAAAAAAAAAGGTTGAAAGTAGTCTGGGCTGTATTTGCAGCACTTTCTTTCCCACAAGTAAAGGCATTTCCGTGTGTTCAGACCTTGTTCTCCCACAGGGGAGGACGCTTTGAGGTGGATCTATGAGCCCAAGGTCATTTAGACACCTATGAAATACAAAGGCTCCTAAAAATGGTTATAACAGCTTCAGATATCTGTTCAAATGCTTGCTCCATCCAGAAGCTCTCAGCTGTTTATATTAGCTCTCTAATTTAGTATTAACTTTCCACTGAAATTGTTGTTTGAAAAGAGCAGATTTCATGTAGCTCATAAAGAATTTAGTACAGTTGTATCCCATGCTGAGCAGACATTTAATCACCTATAGACTTCCTGTGCAAGAGCAGCCCTGGCGAGGCCAGTGGAGCCATTCGCACAAGTGAAGTTAATTGCCCATTTGTTCTAGCATTTGCCAAACCAAGGCTTTGATTCTCAAGTGTTTCACTGTGCTTTCCTGCATCAGCAATAACCCTGTAAAATTCACATGTGACAGCTTGCTAGTGTGGAAGCAGCTCACCCTTATAATTCATTTCATTTGAGCTATCAAGCAACAGTTATAATAGTGCAGTTTTTGGAACCAGTTTTACAGACCTTAAAGCTGGCTTAGATCAAGTTTGGGTTTTGTTTAAATGATTTATCTCCCTCTATTGTACTCCCACTGAAGCAGACCTGCAGGGTAATGGCTGCAGAAGGCAATACGACCCCTCTGGCATCTCCAAAAGCCACTGCTTTTCCTCCTGTGCAAGTGTAGCGGCTCCCAGGGGCAGGCAGGGAGATGCAGCTGAGCTTGGCAGCATCCCCCGCCCAGAAGGGTGCAAGCCATGATCATACAGCCAGGGCACCCACAGCCCCCCACCATCCCTGCTGCCAAATCTATAGGCAGGAAACCCACGACCCAGCCAGGTCAGGGGGCAGGACTTTGCCGACGATGGCGTGTCCCTCAGGTGGGAAATCAGTGCAAACCAGACTTCTCCCAGTGGGGGCAGTGGCTTGCAAGGGCTGGGACTGAGGTCCAGGGCCTTTTGTGATTATGGGTATCAACCAGACAGGCAGGGGCTAGGATCAGCTTGCTTGGTAAAGGCCAGGAGCAACCACATGAATTGCAACCATTTTGTGTTGCTGGGTACTTGCCCCATCTCTAATGTGGATCTAATGTTAGCCTGGAAACCTAAAGCTGGGGGTTTATGGCGTGGCTACAAGTGTTTATTTTCTGTGAAAATAAAGAATTCTCAAGCAGTCTAACAGCCCTCCTGGCTCTGCCCCCAGCACAGTGAAACCCTGGGTCTCCTCCCAGGCTAACGGTGCTGGGTTATTTCTAAATAATCTCATTTGCTGCTACGTGAACATGGAGCTGGAATCATATTTCTCTGAGGCTGCTCTAGAGTAAATTACAGCGTTGATGTAGGTGTTTGGCCAAAAAAAGAATTGCATCCATTACTCTCTGACTGCCTTTAAGTAGCGCCTAAGCTTTTTGTAAGGGCTCAGTGGTTTTGGGTTGCATGTAAATGTCATTAACAACAAGCTTTCAGCCAAAAGAAATAACTTCTCCCCTCTCCTTGCTCACCCAAGGACTTGTAGGAGACCAGATGGCCCCAGTGTTTGGGAGCGGGGTTTGGCAAAGGAGACACGTTCAAAAGTTGGACTTTGCTAAGATGAAGTGTAGCTGTTGCTGCTGTCCTGCGGCCAACTCTGCTGCTTTCTTCTTTTAAGTCTCAAGTCGTGTTGCTTTATTACTCCTGAACAGACGAGATGCACAAGCCTGGGTATAAAAGGAGTGAAGTAACCCGGTCAAAAGAACATGCTGAATTTCCAATGCCCCAAAGCTGTTGATTTGGGGTCTTTTTTAAGTGCATCCCAGTGCTACTTGCTATGATGTTATGTTCTCATTTCTAATTCTGTAGGCGTGGGAGGCAGTGAGCTGCTCTCTGAAATCTTGCAATAAAAGCTTGGTATTGAGGAGGAGGGAATTTATACTGTGGAAAATGCCCAAGCTTTGCTGTGAGAAACGTATAGTGCTGATCTTCAGCCGAGAAATGTCACTTGCTCCTTGCAGATCCAGGACAAAGTTATTTGAAGGTCACATGTTCCCCAGCAGTTTGTGTTTGATGGGACTGCCAGGCTGCCCTGGATGTGCTCATCCCTCTCCCTCTGCAGGGATGAGGCAGAAGGTACGGCAGGCGAGGAGGGAGCTGTGCAGCAGGCAGGATCCCACCCCGATTGCATCTCTATGCATAAATACTGTTCACATCCCCTTGCCCGGAGCAGCAGGCGAGTTTGTCAGGGAGGGGTTATGGGATAAGCAGATGCAGAGGCAGCTGCATAGCAGAAGGGACGTGCTCCCCCTTTTGGGTGACCGTTGTTGCTCAAGGAGCTCAGCTCCGAGCCTATGGGGAAAACGTGTTTGCAGCTTTCTGGAGGTGCTTGGTACAGCTGGGTTTGTGCAGGCATTGTGACAGGAGACCCCAGGGATGCAAAGCAAACAGAGAGAGCAGAAGTTGTTGGCTGTGGTGCCAATGAAGGACATTTTTAACATTTTAAGTGAAACTGGAGGTTCAGAACCCTGTGCTACAGGGGCAGTAGGAAAACCAGTGCTGTTCATTAACAGCTAGAAATCCAGAAGTTGATTGTGGCTTGGGATTTGGGTTCTGGTCAAGCTGCTGAGCAGAAGCATAAATCAGAGCAGACAATAAAAGAAGGGAGAAGTTGAAGAAGTCAAAACAGCTTACAGAGTTGGACACGTGAAAACAAATAGCAGTATTTCAAGTATGCCAAAAGCAAGAAGTGTGAGAATGTGTCAGCAGAGCTGCCAGTTTACTGGGGACAAGTGAGGAGGCTGAAAATGTGATTGAGAAATACTGACTTCCAAGCAGGAGTCACCATCATTGCAGCTGAAGGTCCTGGTCCCAATCTACTTGTTTAATGCAATAGAGAGGAGGTGCTGTCAGGGGCAGGGTTTGGAGAAGATGTTCAGGTGCAAGCCGATGGCTTGGAAAGCATTTAGCCTTTGCATCCAGATGGTTTGCCCAAGAGTTTTGCAGGAGCTGGGCTGAAAGCTGCAAATAAACATATGCGTTTCTGCATTAAAACCAGCTGCTGTTCCGAGGATCTGGAGGCTTTGCCTGTGTTTTAAGAAAACCTTTATGATTGGTCCAGACATTGATGGATAGAAAGATGGGGGGAGGCTGTTCCTGGCAATTTGATAGGAAAGATAATTAACAACAGAATGAGAAAACACCAGGAGGATGAGGGAAACCAGGAGAGCCCAAGGACATGCTCACATTTCTGTGTTGGAGGACGCTGTCTCATTGCTCTGTTAGTTCTTCATGGCAATGAAACCGAGGGTAAGCAAGAAGCAGCTGGTATAACATACACACCATTCCTGCACAGGAGGCTGTCAAAGAGCTAAACAGAGTCACTCTCAGCAGATTGCCTGAGTAAAGAGTCACAGAATCGTTAGGGTTAAAAGAGTCCTCTGGAGATCATCCAGTCCAACCCCTCTGCCATGGCAGGGCCACCTAGAGCAGGTTCCACAGGAAGGTGTCCAGGCGGGTTTTGAATGACTCCAGAGAGGGAGACTCCACAACCCCCCTGGGCAGCCTGTTCAGTGCTCTGCCACCCTCAGCGTAAAGAAGTTCTTCCTCATGTTGAGGTGAAACTTTTGTGTTTTAGTTTATGGTCATTGCTCCTCATCCTGTTGCTGGGCACCACTGAAAGAGTCTGGCACCATCCTTCTGGCACCTGTCTTTGAGATTATTTGTATGCATTCATGATATAACCCCTCAATCTCCTCTAGACTAAACAGACCCAGCTCCCACAGTCTCTCCTCATAAGAGAGATGCTCCAGATCCCTGATCATTCCGAAAGAAAGCAAACTGCCCCAAAAGAAGAGGAAGGCAGAGTCCTGTGACATCTAGGAGTCAGCCTGAGGAGTAGTAGCCCTGTTAGGCTGGGCTGTGTGTCCAGCCCTTCTCCTTGGATTGGCGTGGTCAGGGTGGCTTTGGGTGCTTCTGAGGTTTGGCTGTGACCTCTGCCTCTCCCACCAAGCCCTGTCCTCCTGCCAGCCTGCCATGCTGGGACCTCTCTCACCAGAGGTAGCGGTCTCACTGCTGCTCTGCTCTTCCCCACACAGGAAAGTCCCACCTGGCCATCGTGCAGCGGGTGAACAACGAAGGGGAAGGAGATCCATTCTACGAGGTGATGGGCATTGTCACCCTGGAGGATGTCATTGAGGAGATCATCAAGTCCGAGATCCTGGATGAGACGGATCTGTACAGTTAGTGTCCCAGAGCAGCTACTGCAGTTGCAGGAGCCAGGGTGGGAGCCCACAAAGACAGACAGACATGTGGGTAGGAAACAGGCCAGAGCAAATTGTGGTCCTTCCCCAGAGCAATTCACAGTCATGGTGGGAAAGACAAGAATGATGGAGAGATGCTGGTCAGATGTCAGGGAGTCTTGAATGCTCAAGATAGAAAAGCACCAGCATCGGCAGCCAGTGGCTGGGCCGGGCCTGAACCAGGGACACGTGTGTTGGGCATGAAGTGCCCATGAGTGGTTCCCAAGCTCCTTCCAACTCTGGGTGACACATTCACCTAGGGCAACCCAGGACTTGTTCCTGAGAAAGAAGTGTGTTTCACCACCCTGCTCCTTCCCCAGGGAGCTGCTCCCAAGGCTGGTACACATGGCATGGTTTGTGTGCCCAGCTGCTCCAACTGCTGCTCCACAGCAGCTCTGCCATAGAGTGCAGAAGACATGCCTCTCTATATACATGTGCATGTGGTATGGGCCCTGCAGCTGCAGTGGCTTTGTGGCTGCTGCAGGCAGGCAACTGCTTTGCTCTCTGTCCCACAGCGGACAATCGGAAGAAGGAGCGTGTGCCCCATCGGGGACGCAAGCCCCAGGACTTCTCCATCTTCAGGCTCTCGGACAGCGAGATGAAGGTGAAGATCTCCCCGCAGCTCCTCCTGGCCACCCATCGGTTCATGGCAACAGGTACCCTTGCCCTTGTGCAAGTTCTGCATTTCCCTGCCACAGCACCAGCCCCGCAGGGCATCCCTAAGCCATTCCTGGGTCAGACTCCTCTGCTTAGTGAGCAGCTTCTGTGTGCCTGGAACCCCACCCTGGGCATCCCACTGCTCCCACCAGCATGGGTCTGTGTTTGGCTGCCCTCCATGCAGCAAGGTGCTGAGGCTGCAGGAAGGGAGGCCATGCAGCTCAGAGGACCAGGAGCTCTTGGCAGCCCCAGCCCTGCTGAGCAAGCATGTGTTGCCTCCCCTCTAGAAGTGGAGCCTTTCAAGTCCCCCTACCTCTCTGAGAAGATCCTGCTGCGGCTCCTCAAACACCCTAACGTCATCCAGGAGCTCAAGTACGACCGCAAGAACAAGAAGGCAGCAGAACATTACCTCTACCAGCGCAACCGCCCTGTTGACTACTTTGTCCTCATCCTGCAGGTGCCTGGGGCAGCAGCGAGTAGAGCATGGCAGGGGGTGGCCTGTCTCTCCTCACCACCTTGCTCTGGGCTGCTTCTGCCAGTGGAGATGCCCTTCTCATACAGGGCGGCGAGAGTCCCCGCAGCCCTGGGTGGGTTGGTGGTCATGAGTGCAAGATGCTTGTCTGAGCAGGTTTTCCTTCCAGGGGAAAGTGGAGGTGGAGATTGGCAAGGAAGGGCTGAGGTTTGAGAACGGGGCATTCACATACTACGGTGTCCCTGCCATCATGGCTGTTGTCTCCTCAGGTAAGGGCTCTGTGGGGTCCCTCCAGCCCTGCCTTTGCTTCAGCAGCCTCCATGGGGGCTGAGCTGGGGCTGGCTGTGGGGTGGGGTGGCCCTGCTGCAGGGTATGGGGCTGGCAGGAGTCCTTCCTCTGTGATTCCTACACCTCCAGCTCTCATTTCAGATAACGATGTGCGAAAAGTGGGCAGCCTGGCTGGATCCTCCTTCCTATGTAAGTATTTTGGGACAGGCTGGGGCTCTAAAATCTCTCCTTTGCAGCACAGGCTGCCTGGACAAGGGATGGGTTTGCACCCAGAGCTAAGGCTCTGCACTGACATCACCCCTTTAAAAAGCTCAGTGGAGAAACAACTGAGAGGCTGACGCAGCCTGCAGAAAGGACATGGAGGTCCCTTTGAAGTTTCAGCCAGGTGCTGGATCCCTGCAGGTGGATCCCAGCAGGATGGTGCTGCAAGGGACACTGCCCACGGGTGGCAGCATGACCATGCTGATGGGAGCAGTAAACCCTGTGACTTCTGGCACGGTGCACCTGGGTCTGTGTAACATCTTTGGACCCACTTGCATTCCTGAGGCTCAGAGGATGAGCTGAACATGAGTCCTACACCAAGGGAATGGGGACTGCTTGGGAACTGTAGAGGTGAACCTGTGAGCCATTTGCACATGGTGGTGGGGGAATCAGCCCAGATTAAAGTAGATGCCCCACTGCAGGTAAATTCCTTGACTGAAGAGCTGGTGGGTTACCAAGCAGTTTCCCTGCAGAGGAAGCTCTGATCAGGGAAGATGGTGCCCCCTGGCCCTTCTTTGCTGATCACCCCTGCAGATGGTTAACCCCTGGCGACTTGGGAGTGATTGGGTAGATGTGCTGCTCACCCCTGGTCAGGCACATCCCTCATCCCAACCCCAGATGTTGCAGTTGGATCTGCAGTGCTGATGGTACGATGAGAATGCTCTGGGTGACTAATCAAAACAATAACCCGCCAAGTTCAACCTTTAGGGAGTAGCAGGGAGGAATGTTTTTAAGAGAACAGGGAGAGTCCCTTAGGGCAGGTGACAGTCATTCCCATGGCTCCCAGTCTGCTTCTGCTCTAGGGTTCACCTATTTCCTGCTGCTTGCTTTGCTTCCATTTGAAAGGCTGGCTCTGGACTACTGGATTAACCCCTCAGTG